GACAAAAGTTAATGAAGAATATCTTAGTAACCTGCAATTTACTGAAGATATTGCCTTGATAAGTAGCTTAGGAGACGAATTACAGCTCATGGTCACTAAACTGGAGACGGAAATTTAAAGAATTTGTCTGAAAATAATATGCATTGAACTAAAGTAGAGCGCAACGGTTTCGGCAGAAAACAGCGCTTTGCGATAGGTGGAGAGACCATGGAAATTGTAAAAGAACATGTCTACTTAGGACAGGTATGTGATCGCGCAGCCAGACGACGAGAGAGAAATAACTAGACAAACCCCATTCGGCACGCATTCTAAATTATCCATGATAATCTGTCACTAACCCTCAAGAGGAAGGTATATAACAGCTGAATCTTGCCGGTACTTACCTACGGAGCAGAAAACTGGAGGATCAGAGAGAGGGTTTGGCTGATATCGGAATACGACGCAGAGAGCGATCGAAAAGAAAATGATAGGTGTAACTATAGGAGACAAGACAGCAGAGCGGGTCAGGGAACGAACCGGGGTTAAGAATATCATAGCAGAAATAAAGGAGAAGAAATGCACACAGGCGGCCATGTAGCGAATAGGCCGGATAACCGCTGGTTGTTAAGGGTAACCGACTGGATTTCCAGAGAAGCCACACGCACGAAAGAAAGAGAGAAAGCTAGGAGGGCCTATGAGTTCAAAATGTTCGCAGGTATAGCCTGGCAGGCAGAAACCACAAGACCAGATTGATTGGCAGAACACGGGAGAGACCTTTGCCCTGCAGTGGACGTAGTCAGGCTGATGATCATGAACCAGGCAGCAACACTTCGCAAAGCCAACGCGAGGTGTAAGCGCCATGCCACAAGTTTTTAGGGGCGAAGCTCCTTAGGGCGTGGGCTGTGCGTCCCCTGTAGCCTGTATGTAGCCACCTCTAGTTTAGTTCTTGCAGTGTTCACTAGATGGCGGTACCGTTCCCTGTATGTAGCCACCTCTAGTTTAGTTCTTGCAGTGTTCACTAGATGGCGGTACCGTCTCCTGTATGTGGCCACCTCTCGTTTAGTTCTTGTAGTGTTTACTAGATGGTGCTACTTGTAGCTGATGATGAAAAGATGCAAGATGTTATAAACTAGAAAGCGGTACTTGTAGTTTATGAAAGACGCGAGATCTTATAAAATAGGAATGATGTCACATATGGCGCGTGTCATTGGTTGAAGGCAATCGTTCGATTTAGTGCGGCAACGTACGCTAGGGGGAGTGATGTAATAAAATCGAGTGGGCAAAATGTACAGAGGATTCATGGTTTACCAGGTTTACCTCCGGAGCTTCGCCCACTCATCATCATTCACTTCGTGGATATGGCGGAATTTTTTTTTTTCAAATGTGGTGTGTCCTTTGGTTTTATGACATCATAAGCCGGCGTGTACTTGCGCATTCAATTTTATTCTGAACACCTTCAACAGTAGCTCACATTGTTAGTCTCGTGTGCCCAATCTTATCGAGCGTGATACGTGGTATGTGCGGTGCGAAATGAAGAGCAATATTAGAACCAGAATATTTAATAAACCGTGAATCATGTTTCAGAATAGTGAAAGTTCTGCGGGCGGAATCTCAGATCACTTACTAGGGCCACCAGGAAATCATAAATGAGGTGAGAGTATGGGACAGTGTTTATGAGGCTTGAAAGAAAAAGAAAGAAACAGGTTGAAATAAAGATGAGCAGAACGACTGAAGTGGCATCAGACTTCGCATGATAAACACTAGTATTGGCTTGATCACTCCGTTTATCAACTGTGAAATCGCGAAGTGCCACCATGATAACCTTTGTGCTTTTTAAAACGCTTGCCGGGTGTGCCGTAGATTGCGTAAATCTCTTTACACCTTATACCCTTGAGAATCCGTTATGTTACCTGAGGTCGTAACGAAATGCGCGATAAACGATTTCCCGCAACGTTGGTGGTGAAAACAGTTATACCTTACGAAGACTATGTCATGCATTCAGAATGATACAAAATGGGTGGCAAGCGAGCGAACATAAAATCTGTTTCAATAATACGCTATTGGTTGAAGACAGAGAGATGCGTCGATTCTTACTTCCTGGTTCGGTAACGGAATACATAATGTTCGAATCGACCTTGCAACGTGCGAGTTTATTTCAGCTTCCCTTACTTTGCAATTCGTACACAAAAGCCAAGAAAACGTACCGCTCCAGGCATGTTCTTTGTGCACAGCAGACGAGCGTAGTTTGGTTGCTTCAAGTAGCGGAGGCGCGTCAGACATAATGCTAGTCCTGTCGCGACAATACTACTAGCCTTGGCCCATGACAATGACCTCTGCAACATGGAGCCTTCGGGTATTGGTGTCAAAGGGACCAACGTCTGGCCAGAACGCGTGCATAGATAGATCCTGGTGGGAATTAAAAAACCGGGAACTCCGGTGACCTCTTAAATCATCTTTTTCGCGATATAAAGATGATTTACACTCTTTAAAGGACCTCTCACCAGGTTGGAGGGTTTAGAGTTGACATGTGCAACGCATACACTGTGCGCTAACAATCATGTCTACCAATATTTGCAACGCTGTGCGCCGTGAAAAAAAAAGGTAAATTAAAAAAAATTAAACTGAATGCTGCTACCTTGAATATCGCGGGAGCACACTGAGGGGATGACGTACCACTACGTATTTATTCGGGCATTGACTTTGCTCCTCTATGTAGACATCAGTCTTTTGACACCACTCAGAGTAGAACATGACAGTGTGAGAATCATTGATTTGATTGATTTGTGGGGTTTAACTTCCCAAAACCACCATATGATAATGAGAGACGCCGTAGTGGAGGGCTCCGGAAATTTTGATCACCTGGGGTTCTTTAACGTGCACCCAAATCTGAGCACACGGGCCTACGACATTTCCGCCTCTATCGGAAATGCAGCCGCCGCAGACGGGATTTGAACCCGCGACCTGCGGGTCAGCAGCCGAGTACCTTAGCCTCTAGACCGCCGCGGCGGGGCACAGTGTGAAAATCATTCAAGGCTACATGTGTAAGTTGTGCAATCTGTTGCCTGAACATACGAATAAAAGTCGTGTATGTTTATATTTTTTTTTACTGCGAATCACTGCGAGATGCGAGACTAATGTGCTTCTGCTTCTCGTGCTTTCGCGTTTTCGTCGTCTCCGCGTAGTGCAGGTGTCATGTCGGCTGCTCGGACAACGCTTGGCGCGTTTTGGGGCCATCGTCTTTCACAGCAGTTGTAGTGGCGCGCATACGACAAAAGTGCACGCATGCGAAGAAAACTGCCACGCGCAAGCATAAAGCGCTGTCGCACTCACCTCTCACTGTTTGCGTCACCTGTTTGCCTACATCAGAGACACTGAAGGTCGATGAAGTTTGATTATTATTGTTTGACAGTGGTTTACCCATCGCCATTCCCTTACTCGTCACCATCGCCAGTGACCGGCAAGCTTTTGATTGCGACAAAAAGATGGCGCCATAAATACTGGTTGTCATTTCTCCTAAGTACGGCAGACATATAAAGAGGTTGTCCTTACTAAGACGGAAAGCTTCCTGTCACCTCACCGAGTTCTCTCGACTCGCTCAAAGACGTTCTGCTATACATATTGGCAAGCGACCAACGCGCTTCTGCCGTGGGATAAGAACGATCGTGCTGTTCAAGTACACTCGCGGGAACGCCTAAAATATGTCATGCATACCTTAGGATAATCGTGAGATGGCCGGCAAACCGTAACCCCGACGTCCTTGGACGTACATTGTGTACGCGGGATGAGGAAAGGGGGAAATGTCTTTCCCAGAATGAGTCCAGAACCCGGTGGTACACTCTTCGGCATATTCATCAGGGTGTGCGCTAAATTACATGCGAAAGAAAAATGTTCCTATTGGCCATTGCGGCAGCAGAAGCCCGTCGATACCGTTGTAGGACCGCTTCCGATGATTCAAAAGTGACCGACGCATTCCGATGCAGAGCACGTTTACGACCGGAGAAGCCCACCTAACAGTCACTGTGTAAATGAGCCGCGCTCCGTGTTCAGCCGAGCGACGAAATCCGATCGAACAGCGAGCATGACCTTGACGTGCATCCACTCTACAACTCCCTCTCCCCTCTTTGTCCTGCCTTGTTAGTCAAGAGGACCATCCGGAAGTCGGCCAGAAGGGAGAGGCTTGTTGGGCATAACACGAACAGATGGAACGCAGCAGCGTTGCGTGAATAGGAGATGGCGCAATGGCGAGCTTGTTTTCTTCGGTAATAACGTAAACCGCTTCGTCACGCAGCAGCTGGCAGTCATAGACCATGCGCCACCTCCACGAAACAACTCGAGTGGTTTGGTTCCCTTTGCCATTTGATCAGTCGAGTACGCGCCGAGTTGGAAGAGTACTAGTATAGATTATAACCCTAATTTTCCACGAAGCATCGGTTGCTCGCTCGGTTATGCCCCTCTAGCTTTCTCACACAACAAAACGCCCGGTTAAAGCCTGCACGTAGAATGCGAGAAGTGTTGAAATACAGCTCTGACACACACACACGCACAAACACACACACACACACACACACACACACACACACGCACGCACGCACGCACGCACGCACGCACGCACGCACGCACGCACGCACACACTGTGCCCCTCTCCCTCCCCTTTGAGGCTTATGCATCTTCGGGTGAAACACCAGTGTCGGTGGCGACAGAGGAATAGCGTGGGGTGGTCGATTACCATAGCAGCAGCCATCTCTTTCAAAGTCAGACAGACAGACTCGCATAAACACACACACGCTGCCTGGGCAGAACGCTTATCTCACTCGCAAGAGTGAGAGAAGGAAACGGCCAGGACTACGGGCAGCGCGTTCATCTTCCTTCGGTAGACACGTCCAAGCGCATCTTGCATTGAGAGAGAGAGGGGATGTTAGCGCCAAGCCGGGTCGTCCGCAGCAGGGTCTTTGAGAAAGTGTGTCGATGCGTCATCAAAAGGACGCCTCCGCGTCACCGCCACCGGAACGGGTATATAAGAGCATCGTCCAAGCCAAAAAGCTGGCCGCCAAACACACAGAAAGAACTCATCTCTTCCTCGGCTTAAGTATATTAGAAACTCATCGCCGGCCACTTCTGTACGGATTTCCGCTCCTTCGCTTCGGAGGACGTTCAAAAAAACCAAGTTCGGGATCAAGCTTGAACAAGAAAAGATGCAATTTCTCGTGAGTATTTATGGGATGCACGTGCGACCAGTCCCGGAGGCTACGTCTCTCGGTGCCGTGTGGGGTGATTGGTGACGGGTTTTAATATTTCTTAGCAAGAATATGCCTGGTCGGTAAACGTGCAGAGACAAGCTACTTCACGGACTAGGATGGCCGCGGAGTGGAACGTTGCTGCTTAGACCGTAGTTCTTCGACCAATTTCTTCGTTGGTTGTATGGCAGTCAGGAAATGGTAGAGCATTAAGGTGGCGGAAGCTTCTGGGCCAATACCACAATGTCTGCATTTGACGAGAAGGGCGTAATAGGTTTATTAAACTAGAAAACAGCACTTCTTTTTTTTGTAAAACAAAATGAGGCAAATGAAAAGCTCACGTGGCTAGGCAGATAGAGCAAGGTTTGCGCATGCTTGCGGGAATGCCGCTTAAGACGTTGCAAGTGCCGTAATATTAGTATTAGAAACATCTGTAGTTGGCCTGAGTACCGACCATTGCACCAGCCTCTGAGGGCATTCAAACACCTTTTTGAAGTTTAATAATAATAATCATGAGGTTTGACGTTCCAAAACCGCAATATGATTATGAGGGACGCCACAGAGAAGGGCTCCAAATATTTTGATCACCCGAGATTCTTTGGCAAATCTAGATACACAGGTCTCAAGCATTTACGTCTCCATCAAAAGTGTGGCCGCCGCAACCGGGATTCGAAACCGCGACTTTCGAATCAACAGTCGAACGCCATAACCATTCGGTTACCGAGGCGGGTGGGATACGAAGTTCGGGATCAAGTTTTGACAAGATGAGATGCAACTTGTCGAGAGTATTATATGGGGTGCACGTGTTACCGGCCCGGAGGCTACAGCTCTCGGCAGCAACGTGGTTCCTTGATGACCGGTTTTTATTTTCTACCGGACGGATATGCTTGGTTGGTAAACATGCAGAGCCGGCTGCTTAGGCGGCTGTCCACAGCGGGTCGTGTGTTCTATTTTATGTGGTTAAACTAGTACTTTCGCTAAGCCTCTAGATTTTTAACCAGTTTGTTCACTGGGCGCACGAAAGTCAAACGATGTTACGACACTAAGGTTGAGGACACATTTCAATTCGTCCTCGACGCTTGAAGGGGGGGGGGGGTGGAATTCGAGATTGATGTCGAACAGGATGTACCGTTAATGAACGGTGCCAGTGGTGATGTAGCTTGATTGCCCTTTCGAGAAACCAGGCTGGTATGTTGCAAGTTGTGCAGTTCTTTCGAGACAACTAGTCATTGATGATATGAAGGATGATACGTCAGGACTGAACGCCGCAGCATACTCCCGGAATCAGAATAAGCAGACTTTACGATGACAACTTTAATAAGACTGTATTTAAATATACAGGCAGATGTGACCCATGGGATTACGTAGAAGGAATGAAACATTGAGTTTTCATTACGATGGCCAGTATATATATATATATACTTTGCTTCTGCATCACTACTAATTTTTAAGCCAAATGCACGAGTGTTTTCTAAAGATTCCATATTCATAACACTTAAAACCATTCGTCTTTGTTATTTTTAAAGGGTTACGACAAGTACGCAGTAAAAAAAAAGTCGAACTAGTAATAATTCATGCCAGAAAACTGAAAATTCCCTATGAAGATGTAGTACTAGGAAAAGCCTGTTGTATTAAGATTTCACCGATGAGTGCTAAGTTATATCGACGAGATTTACTTCTCGATACCGTCTTTTGTGACACACTGTCAGCGTCCTTAATTCGCCGCTTCTAACTTGATTCATTCTCGTTTTCATACATAAGCACTAAGTTATATCGACGGGATTCACTTCTTGATACCGTCTTTTGTGACACACTGTCAGCGTCCTTGATTCGCCGCTTCTAACTTGATGCATTCTCGTTTTCATCCAGGCAGTACCAGTTCTTCTAGGCCTTCTGAGCAGCACCTTTGCCGCCTACAACCACGGCGCCGGTGTCTCACTTCATGGTGCTCCAGCGGTAGCATCCGTGCGGCCAGCCACTTACACAGTCACTACGGCTGCTCCGGCTGTCACTAGACTGGGATACGGCGCCGGACTGGGATCGGGAGTCGGCCTCGGCTACGGCGTCAGCCAGAGGGTCGTCAGCGGCGTTCCCGCCATCGCTACGTATGTCCAGCAGGCTCCGACCGTGTCTTACCGGGGATACGGTCTCGGATACGGCAGCGGTCTCGGATACGGCAGTGGTCTCGGCTACGGCGGGCTGCGCTATGGAAGTGCCGGCATCACCACGATATCCGCTCCAGCTGTCTCTCAAGTGCGCCGCTTGTCCTACTCGGCCCCCCTGGTTTCCACCGCACCGGCGGCCGTCAGCTATTCCGCTCCCGCCTCCGTGACGACCATCCACAGCGCCGCTCCCACCGTAGCCATTAGGCCTTCTGTCAGCTACGCTACGGCGCCTGCGGTGACCACTTACCGCACGGCTGCAGTTGCTGCACCCGTTGCCACTTTCGGGGCTGGTCTGGGCTTCGGACACACGGTGACCGCGGCACCTGCGGGCTATTCGACTCTCAGCCGGTACAGCTACGCAGCTCCAGCCGTTGCTGCCGTCAGGCCTGCCGTGAGCTTCGCTACGGGTCCCGCTTTGACTGCCACGCGTCCAGCATCGGTTAGTTACACGGCTCCTGTCGTAACGGCCGTGAGACCGGCCGTCAGCTACGCGACAGCGCCTGCAGTTGCCGCCGTTAGACCCGCCGTGAGCTATTCCTCGGGGCCTGCTCTGAGCTACACCACGGGTCCTGCTGTCAGTTACTCCACCGGGCCTGCCGTTACCACATCCTACCGCTCCAACGCGATCCAAGCGCCCGTCACCACTTTCGGTGCCGGCCTGCGGCTTGGCACTACATTCGGTCAGTCGTTGTTGTCCTCCGGCTACACTGGCGGGAGGTCAGCGGTGAGCTACTCCACTCCTGGTGGCTCGGTGACAACCGTTCATCACGCTGCACCCGCTGTCGCAGCCGTGAGACCAGCCGCCGTCAGCTACTCGGTCTCTCCAGCCGTCACAACTGTAAGGCCCGCTGTCAGCGTTGCTGCCGCCCCTGCTGTCACCGCCGTCCGACCAGCGGTCAGTTACACCACCACGCAAGCCGTCAGGCCTGCCGTCTCCGTCAGCTACTCCACAGCCCCAGCCGTCGCGGCAGTTAGGCCGGCCGTCAGCTATACCACAGCACCAGCCGTCGCCGCTGTCCGGCCAGCCACCCTGAGCTACGCCACGGCGCCCGCCTATACCACATCTTACCGCACAGCAACCCTTCAGGCACCTCTTACCACATATGGCGCCGGGCTCGGCCCCACGGTAAGCGCTCCTGCCGTCTCGTACACCACTGGTACACCAGGCATTGCCTACCGCACCGCCGCCTATGCGGCTCCCGTGTCCATGTATGGAGCCGGTCTCGGCATCGGCCACACCATCGCATCGCCCGCCCTGAGCCAGCAGTTCCGCACCGTATCCTACACCGCGCCCGTAGCGGGGGGATACACAACTACGGCGGCAGCTCCTGCATCCGTTAGCTATGGCGTTGGAGGACTTCGCACCGGATACGCGTCCTACGCTGGCGCCCCGACCGTGGTCCAACATTTGGCTGGACCAGCCACCTCCTATGTAACCGGCGCGGGATATGGCACTGCGCATGCCGGTCTCGTCGGTCAGGGCCTCCAGTACAGAACACTGGTTTCTGGAGGTGGCGTCGGAGGTGGTCTGGGCTACGGTACCTACAGCGTCTACGGAGCCGGAGCACCCCACCTCAAGGTCATCAGCCCCGCTAAGAAGAAGTGAAGTGTTACGATTGTTTCCCTTGAACCATGGAAGACCTGGAGACGACTCGAAGCTGTCAACGGTTGTGAAAAACGAAGCTGAGCAGTATTTATTTCGACCTGCCACACGCAGGAAGACAGATGTGTGTGCCTTCGTTGGAACTGCGGCTGCGCTTTGGTAATGGGAGATGCTCTGTGCGCCAGATCGCCGAGCACGTGATGAATAAAGTGGTTGAAAAGGCTGCTGATTTCATTCGAGTCACTTATAAAACAGACGTCTATTTAGGAATTTCAATTATTTTGTAGTTTTAGTTGTTGAGTTTGTCGGGAGTGCTATTTTAGGTGTTCGCAAAAAATAATGGCTAAAAAAAAGAATCACCCAGATATTTTCTTGAAATGCAGTAATAAAAGGTGTATTTTTACAAAGAAGCGATTGAAATCCACTTGAAGCAGTGTTCCGACAAGCTACTCGTAAGACAGTTCATGGGAATCGGTCATGGGTTTTCTTAAGCTGACGGGGCAAAGGCTAGACTCTAAGATATGTTTATGCAGTATTGAATATAAAGTTTTATGGCTGTCTAATGAAATAAATATGCGCTGTAAATGTAACACGCTTCTTTATTAACCTAAACGCAGCGTAGATACATAAAAACAAATTGTGTTCTGACCTTTACAATGAAGGTAAGTGTTGAGACATACATACGTCTCAACACTTACCTTCATGTTCAGTACGTGTTCAGTACCATCTTTACATATGTAAAGAATGTACTGAACACGTTATGTCCGAGGAAAAGGGTAAAGAACGGAATCCAATATGATGTGTTAGAAACCCCGATATATAGACTGCTCTAAAAGCGCTGGAGCTGCATTCGACAAAATATCCCGGGCACAAGTAGTAGAAAGCAGCCCACTTTCTTGTGCAGACTTTAGTAATGTACTGAACCGTAAAATGTTTATTTTGTGTTTTGGCTCATGCAGGGATTTACGGTTCAGTGCATTACTATAATCTGCACAAGAAAGTGGGCTGCTTTCAACTACTTGAAAAATAAATTGTATTCAGAACTTTAAATTGAAGGTTTTCTTCCACATAAACATGATTGCTTCTCTGAACTATGTAAATGAACGCGAGCATGTTGCTTGTAACATTATTTAACATTAATTAAACCCTGAGAGGAAAAGCTTTTAAACAAATTTTTTGCAGTAGTTTGTAGTTCTGCATCTGATAATCTCGAAATTGAATCGTAGGAACTCTAATGCAGCATATAAGTAATGACAGCGTCATTATTTCAGCACGATTTCACATCAATTTTGAAACACCCGCCGAAATACCATGAGAAACTAACGCCTCGCAGCGGGGAGCGCCTAAGACTGCTAGCGCTCAAGCTTCGCTGACGCTGAACGCGCCGTTTTCAAATCGGGAAACCCCGGGAAGATAAAACAATGTGGGTTCTTTGAATGTGTCCCCTCAAAAAATATTAACAAGCAAAACATCATTCCAGGCGTAAGCTCTTTAAATGTACCACCGGAAGACATTTCGATCAATGCCCCTGAATGGGTTGTAAGTGAGGTCATCCGTATTCCTATGAAACTTGGTCAGTATTTTTTGTATCTGAGGTGTGTCACCGTTCTCGAGCAGGGTGGTCGGTAAACTGACATATCAAATGTAGTGCGGGGATGCACGAAAGAGGCACTATCACGTTAGCAGTATGGTTAATAAGGAATGTGACAATCTAAAGAGCAGCGGCGCAGAGACTAATCGTTAGGGCCGTGTAGAAGAAGGAGGTTAAACCATTCTAATATGCGTTCTTACGTGTTTTCGTACGTTTTCGTCCTTATGTGCAAACGTGCACGCTCAAACATGCATACCGGTTGATTGAACTCACCCCCCCCCCCCCCCCCCAAACAACCAACCTAACCCCGTCCCTCCTTCCTGTCTAAGCACGCCAGTGCTCCAATGTATATGTATTTTTCAGTAACTCACAAATCCACTCGACTCTCTCCCCATAGTGTGTCATCTACTTTTATTTCTACCCGAGTCCCAGAAACACAAAGAAAGGAGGACTCACAAAAGGTTTCTTTCCATATCGTCTCATCGAATAGATTAAGAGCGCATACGAGACGCCTCCGACTTCCAAGAATTACCCATATTATCGTCCTTCGATCTCTCTTTCCATTCAATAAATAGGCACAAAGTATTTATAAGTATCAACTTGGTTTGCATTGATGTAAGTATATTCTCTTTCCGCTCGACATGCCGTAAGTAGTTGCGCTGTTGAAAAAAAAAAGAATCCTGTCCTCTGGAAAGATAAGTGTGAAGGTCACAGATTGCCGCGGCCTAAATCCCAGAATCGGGCTCGGTTGACTCAGAACCGGGCTTGAGGTGAAGAAGTTGACGCTCAGAGAGGGAACGCAAAAAATGGATTAGCTGCCACAGCCTTACGTGTATCGATGTAAATGTTCTGCAGGCTACTCCGGGCTCTTTTAAGGAAGTGTGGCAGCTTGGGCAAGTTGGTATGAGATGACGATAGTTATAGCGCGAGAACAGAACTCCTTCTTGTCCCTTTGTCTTCGTTCTATTCTCGCGCTTTAACTATCGTCGTTTTAACGAGCGCGTAAAATACCTCTCCGAAGCATGCGGGAGGCGTTATAATTTTACGATGCCACACTTGTCGAGGCGCAAGCCTTACGTGCCCCGTAAAACACGAAAATTGACCCCAGTCCCCCTTCGTTGTCCTCCGTCGGGGCCTTCAACACGAGGGACGCGAAAAATGATCGTCACGGGATGCAATCTCTGCAACGTCATTTTGACGTCACAGATCGCCATACTTCGCAGCGTCACTGTGAAGCAATCACGACATCGCTGTGACGTCGTTAAATGACATCACTGTATATGTTAAAACCAATACCCCCTGGTAACACCAATCCCAGAAGCAGTGGAAAACAAGTCGAGGTGCAGAAAGCTTACAATGCCTCTGATCCTCGAGGCATTGCAAAAGCACGTTGGCTGTGAAAAGCTTTTCAAAGGGGGCACGTATAATTGATAAACTCCGAAGAAGTCACACCACCTCCCGCTAAAGGGAGCTATAGCGTAGATGCGGCGCAGTGGGGGCCGACGCTTACAATGGCGGTGACGTTGACTCTGACGCTCGTCGCGTCGTTGCGCCGGCGAAAAAAAATACACAGCATATCTACGCTGTGAATGATGATGAGTGGGGCGAAGCGTCCATCCGTTCGTTCTTGCTTCCGTGCGTCCATCTGTGCATCCATCTGTCCTTCGTCCGTGCGTCCGTCTATCGTCCGTCTGCCCATGCATCCGTCTGTGCGCCCGGCCGTCCATCCGTCCGCGTGACCGTCCCTGCGTTCGTCCGCCCATCGGTCCATGCGTCCGTACGTGCGTCAAAAACACAGACAGACGACGTACAGACGCGGCCAGCAGATGATTCACAGTGTGCCGATCAAACGACCCGAAGCTTCGCCCTACTCATCATCACTCACTCCGTGGATATGCCTGTGAGGTCATTACAGCATACATACATACATACATACATACATACATACATACATACATACATACATACATACATACATACATACATACATACATACATACATACATACATACATACATACATACATACACACACACACACACACACATACATACACACATACACACACACATACATACATACACACACACACACACACACATACATACATACATACATACATACATACATACACACACACACACACACACATACACACACACACACACACACACACATACACACATACACACATACACACACACACACACACACACACACACACACACACACACACATACATACATACATACATACATACATACATACATACATACATACATACATACATACATACATACATACATACATACATACATACATACACACACACACACACACACATACATACATACATACATACATACATACATACATACATACATACATACATACATACATACATACATACATACATACATACATACATACATACATACATACATACATACATACATACATGCGACCGGCCCACGCCTTGAGGAGCTTCGCCCCAAAAACCTGGGGAGGCATGCACAAAGCACGCAGTGATGGACCGGTGTTTCCTACTGGAACATGCCAATCGCTGCTAATGGACAATGCATGACAGACGACTCCGACTGGACAGAGGCACCTGTAGTCCGCTTTTAGTTAACGCAGACGCTGCGAAGTTTCATTTTTCAACAACGCACATAAAAGATCTCCCACCGGCCCTACTTCGGAGGTAAAGATCCAGTGCTTATACATACTGGGTGGTTAGCGACCGTTTGTGCAGCGTTAGGAGCCGGTTTTATTGAATCACGAAACCCGCTAGCCGGCACTGACTGCGTCGACGTTGCGAGGCGAGAGAAGGGTAGCGTAGGAGAAAGAGGGGGGAGGAATGCGCAGGTACAGTGGGGGTGTAAATACCGCGGGGAGAAATGCCTAGAAGAGAGAGGGGGAGCGAGCGTAGGTTAGCACAGATGCTCCCTGCGTCGGCGTCACGAGGTGAGAAGGAAAGCGTAGGAGGGGAGTAGAAACGCATGCGCTGTAAGGGTGGTCACGCCGCACACCGGATTCAGCTCGACCCTAAGCGGCTTCGCATGTAAAAGAACGAGGTTTCCGCCTTCTTGATAAAGCGGATGCTTAGGCTAGTTCAGTTGGAATCGACGCTGTAACTACTCGTTTTCTTGTACTGTGCAAATACGTTGGTTTCGCCTTCTAGTCAACAAAGACGGATACATAAGGAAATCTAAGTTTTCGTCGATTCGATCGAGGATGTTCAAGCGAAGCTAGTGTTGACTGGCTATGAAGTTGGTGTTCGCAAAACCACTTTACAATCACAGCTGGCACGCGCCGAGAAGTAAATAAATAAATAAAACTAAAATTACTATCTAATGTTTTGGCTTTAACCATTGTCTCCCTGTACGTAAGTGAGTGCCTTCACCATTACAACATTCGCCCTTGCAACAAGTTCCATCTCAAGACTGCTATCTCACGAAAAATTCGTTTCCGAAAAAAAATGTATTTGTAACACTCGCTTCCATCATTCCTTGATTGTCCATTCTTTGGGCAGTCCTAGAGACTGACGATCGCAGGAAAGAACATGTTAGACATGATGATGATTAATCCGGAAAGGAGCATTCCTGGGATGGCCACTGCCTCTGATAAAACTGAACGCT